TCACCAACCTCTTATATCACATCATAGTTCATGTTCTGGCTGCTGCACTGTTCACCTGACGAAGTGCTTGGCAAGGTGGCAGATGACCCCAAAATTTGGACTCTCGCCACCCACATGTAAAACCAAGATGGAATTTCTGGATTCTGGCTTCCAAATTGTCCATTCCTGACCATTTGTTGTGGCTAATGGTTTCAACCCATGTGTATTGTAAGAGTTCTTTTTCTGGACCATTGAAGAACTTTGAAAGTAGCATACATATCTTTGCATTGCTCTAACACACATGCATACACACACATTTCTTTTCTTACCTTAAAAGCTTAAAATTAACAGATAATAAATGAAATATAATTTAATAAGTAAACATAGAGTTTGTCAAAGACAGTGATTCAATGGGAAATTCTAGGCTTTCCTTTTCTGTAGTTAAGTGTTTTCCAGAGTGCATACCCAGAAGTTGTCACAATATGAAGATCATCAATATTTAAGTGAGCTCTCTCTGGAAACAAACTTGTGTTTCCTTGAGCCTTTACATGAAAAAAAATCACAAAATGACAATTTATTTTACAAATGAGAACTAACATTTCAACAATAGCTTAAATTACACCAGAGTTCCCACTTGTTACCTTATATTTGCATTTGTAACCAAGCCATTGATACCAACAACATAGAAGGTATTTTTCTGGTCCTTAATTATAGTGTTCTTTGAGAAATTCTATAACTTATAGAGAAATCATAGATATTTTCTTAAGATATTCATTAAATCTAATTCATCTGGATTACTCAATCTCACATCAGATAAATATTCATTAAATTGATGAGGAAAAACTGCTCTTGAAGCTACAGAACTCAAAAAAGTTCCTTCCTTCTTTTCTTTTTCTTTTTCTTTTTCTCTTTCTTTTCTTTCTTTCTTTCTTTCTTTCTTTCTTTCTTTCTTTCTTTCTTCCTTTCTTTCTTCCTTCTTTCTTTCTTTCTTTCTTTCTTTCTTTCTTTCTTTCTTTCTTTCTTTCTTTCTTTCTTTCTTTCTTCCTTTCTTTCTTTCTTTCTTTCTTTCTTTCTTTCTTACCACAATCATGGTGTTTACTTTATTGGAAAAGCAAAACACAGTAATTTTAGGAATGTAACCTATCATGGAATGGTTTTCAGTGTCCCCCTTTGGGATTTAACAATATCTGGAGAAATTTTACTCATTGTCACTACTGGCATGTACGTGGATTGCTGCCTCTAGGTAGTAGAGGCCAGGAATGCTGTTAAACATTTTCCAAGCCCAAGGAAGTTCCTACATTAGTCACCTTCCCCAAAACATCAAGGTGATGTTGAGAAACCCCTCCATAATTGTAGATTAGCCTTCTTCCAACAAGTTTTCTGAGTTTCACATTTTCACACTGACCTGAAAACCATCACCAAAGGTCAGTTTTAGCTGACAATGAGCAAATCAATTTGATTCAAATGTTGAATGAAACACGGATCAACTTAGGGAGCTACTATTCATATTTCCTATTTTAAGGAGTCCTCCATGAATTACAAACTGGCTTTTTCCATGGGGTCTTGGGTTCTGTTTTGCCTAACATTTCTCATTCTATCTGTATATCAGTCATTAGGTTCCTTCAAATGTTAAGAATTGAGCTTAAAAGTAAAGATGCATGATTAAAAAGAAGTGGCTATTAATGCCTAAAATTCCTAAGAATTTTAACCAAGGAAGTATCTCATTACATCTACTCTAAATGCTATTAACTAAAAAGTTGAAAACCGTGCTGTAACTTATTCCTGTATCTGGAAAAAAACAATGCTATTTGAGTTGGGAGATTTCTATTGTTTCATTTTGTTGTGTATTTTTTTCTAGTTTCTCCCCAGAGAAGCCAAGAATACCAGGATTTATGTGTGTGATAGGACCTCAGAAGCAAATATTGCAAACCCTGTAAAGTACTCTCAGACGTATGCCCTTACAAAGGTCGAGGGGAAAAAAGTCATAAAAGCTTTTAAAATCATGTTTGTCCATGCTCGGAAAGGCAGCAGGAGCACATAGGGTAAGAGAGGTGGCTCCACCCAGCATTGCTGTTCTCACTGTAACATCTGCAATAACCCATGTTTTAATAAACCTAGCTTAGTCACTGCTTTTTCTGATGGGTTCTCTGTGTATTAGGTAATCAATGAATAGCAGCTGAAATTAAAAAGGAAAGAAAGGAAGGGAGGAAGGGAAAGAAAGAAAAAGAAAAGAGAGAGAGAGAAACACAAGGAGTAAGGAAAAGAAACTCTTCCTTTAAACAGAACTGGCTCCAGTTTCCGTTTACAATCCTGAAGAGTTGTTGTACATATTAAACTGCTGCGTATCTCCATCCCTCCACTGGTCGCAGTAATCTCTTCTCTCCCTCCCTCCCAAACCCTGGACATTGAAGATGTCAGATCTCTGGGAAACAGCAGTTTAGGAAAGGATGCTTCGCATAGCTTGTACTGGTAAACGCTGGCACCTCATCTCTGCATAAACAGCATTAAACTGAGTCACCAATCCGGAAGCGGTGCCTTCTGACTCTCCTCAGAAGGATCTAGCTCATTTGTAGCGAAAACACTAAAAAATACCGCATAGTTCTGGCTGTGGATGTGGCACGTCAATTCTTCTCTCCCCGTTTGCCCTACACAGTTTTAAGCTTTATCCAACAGCGCGTCACGCAAGAACGGAAAACGCAGTTAACAAGATAACGGCGTTACCTAGGTATTTAGCATCACTATTAGCCCGAGTCCGTCATTTGATAATTATTTTCCTAGCATACCAGAAGGGAAAAATAATAACGAAAATAAAAAAAAATGTTTCTATTCTTTCGCAAATGACTACCATCTTATTGATGTTTCTAGAATGCAGTTGAATACTAGTGTGTTTTCAATTTCCCAGCCAGTGCTGAGAGTTAAGCCTGAATACTAATAACATCAGTAACTCCCAGTGTCAATTAACTGGAGCTTTAGAGTATCAGTTTAGGAGGGAGGTTCAGGGACCCTTCCATCAAGCAGTTCTTGTGGTCACAGGTGATGGGGACCCTTCCCTTTCCTCCATATACTTCGTGCACCGCAATAACAATCACCCTGAATACCACCGCTGTCTAAGCAAAACGACACACTGCCTGTCTCATAAAGAGCTCAGCCTGGGGAGGAAGCCGGATGCTGACCCCTGCAGAGCTTATTGCTTCGGTGCGTTTTGCCAGAGGAGCCTGCTAGCATTATGGAAATCGAGTTAGGACGTGCACGATTTTGCTTTCTTTCCAGAGAAGAAGGGCTCAGATCAGAGGAGGAAAATCCTTTTCAAAGGCTGCAAATGGGGAATGAGTGGAGGGATAGCATAAGGGGATGGAGCGAAAGGGTTGCACGTTTATTTTTTTTTTTAATCACTTGCTTTTCCTTGCCGCTTCCCTGCTCTACTTCCCAACTTCACACCGAACAAAATTGATTGGCGTGACTGTTACTACAGCCTAGGCTCGGCTATTGACTTACAAATGGCCTGGAAAAGCTAAAGGATCTTGAATCTTTAAAACAGTACAGGGAAGAGGCAAAACGGGGTCAGGGGACCACCCCATGTCCTGCACGCAGCCCGCCACAAGGCCAGCGCTGCGGCTTGCTTCAGTCTGGTGAGCCGCGAAAAGGGCTGCGGCGTGGGGAGCCTCGGGGGCCGCTCTGCGCCGCGGAGGAGCAACCCTGTCTCACCGGGCTTGGACCTTGTTAAAACAAAATAAAACCCTGCGACTCATCAAACGTAGCAACTCAGCTAGCCGTGCTTGGATTCGGGTGCGCAGAACGTTCTGCCCGACAGGCTACAAGGGGTTAAACTGCCTCTTACATAACGGGACTGCCGAGCGCTACACAATTAAAACGCTTGATTGCAGTCCTCCCGACTCCGCATCCAGCAACACCCGCCAGGTTCCTCGCAGCGCGCCTGCGTGCCGCGCGCGCACTGATCCTGCGCGCGCACTGGGGCGGCGCGCTCCGCACTCACACAGACGCGCGCGCGCACACTCACACGCTTCATGTTGACACCCCAGCACACACGGAGACACACACACACCACGCGCACAACTTGGTGTCAACACGTACACTGAACCGACGCGCGTCCTCCAATCCTTGCCGACCGACCCCATAGACAAGCCAGCTGCTCTACCGCAAGGCCTCGCACCGCCTCCCCACCCCCTGCTGCTCCTGGGTCTCTGCCAAAGGCAGCGCCCGCGGCCGCCCGCCCTGCCTCTTCCCGAAAAGGGGAACGAAAAGAACTAGTTGGCAGCTTGTTAACTGTAACGCGGGGCGGGCTTCCTTTCTACACCAAAACCCAAAACTCAGTCGTCCGCGTTAATGATGGCGCCGAACACAACTTGGAGGACTTCAAACTTACGGTGCCTCGAGAGGTGAAACGCGCCAGAGAGGGAAAGCAAAGCGCACCTCAGCTCTGGCCCCTCCAGCCCCGACACAGAGACTTTTCTGTCAGAGCGTCCCTGTGGCGCCACCACCGTGAGGAAGGCTCAGGTCTGCGGCGCAGCTTTTTCCTCAGTTTGCCTGAAAAGGACCTCTTCTTGATTTTTGTTGCATTTCTTTTTTTTTTTTTTTTCTTGTTCTCTCTCTCTCTCATTCCCCTCCCTCCCCGTTCCATCCCAGTCCCCGGGCGGGGTTGCTAAGGAAACGGCCGCTTGGCAACGCGCGCGAGCCCGGGGGCCGCCGGCCGCCGCTGCGCCCCGCGCTGCCTCTGCCGCCGCCGCTGCCCCTGCTGCTGAGGATTGCAGCCGCCGCTCGCCCTGCCGCCGCCGCGCCTCCTCCCTCACTCGCCGGCGCGCTCGCCTCCTCGCTAGATGGTGTGCGAGCCGCCCGAGAATTAGACACACTCCGGACGCGGCCAAAAGCAACCGAAAGGAGGTGTAGTGCGGAGTCAGGGGGTGGGAGGGAGGGAGGGAGGGAAAGCGAAGAGGAGGAGGAGAGGAAGAAGAAAAAAAAAAGCCAAAAAACCAATACAAAAAAAAAAAAAAACCCAAACAAACGAGAGAGAGAAACAACACCCAACAACTAGGAGGGGGGAAGAAGAAAGAAAGCAAAGAAACCCACCCACCCAAGGAAAAAAAAAATCCTGTGGCGTGCCGCCTGGTTCCTGGGAAGACTCGCCAGCACCAGGGGGTGGGGGAGTGCGAGCTGAGAGCTGCTGGAGAGTGAGCAGCCCTAGCAGGGATGGACATGATGCTGTTGGTGCAGGGTGCTTGTTGCTCGAACCAGTGGCTGGCGGCGGTGCTCCTCAGCCTGTGCTGCCTGCTGCCCTCCTGCCTCCCGGCTGGACAGAGTGTGGACTTCCCCTGGGCGGCCGTGGACAACATGATGGTCAGAAAAGGGGACACGGCGGTGCTTAGGTAGGAGACGGCTCGGCGTGCTTTTTGTACTTGTCTCCGTCTGTCTTTCTGTCTTTCTCTCCACCCTCTTTGCTTTTTGGCCCAGAGCGGTATGACTGGTGTGGCTCACCGTCCAAAGACCCCTAACTCTCAAGCACCCAGGTACCGAGGCTTCCCCGAGCCCCGGGCCCCGGGCCCCGACAGGCTGGGGCAGGTAGCGAGCTGGACGCATGCCGCTGAAGCACTTTGCGAATGTCTGCTAGCCCCGGGGTGAGTCAAGTGTCAGGTTCAGAGGAGGGGCAGGTGTCACTTTGCAACTTCATTCGTGGGGTCTCTGTTTTACTGCCACGGGGTACTCGAGGAGTGTCTGTCAAGTTTATCAGGTTGCTTTCTGTCTTACTCTCCCATTAGCGACTTTTTCCAACTGCTGGCCCTCCGTTCACATTAATTCTCCCTTTCCCTTGGACACTTGGGCTCAGAGTCTGCCTCAGCTTTCTCTGCTTACACAGCTTCTTCACTTTCCCCCTCCTCTAGAGATCCCCATGTTTTCCTTCCCTGTTATCTTTTCCCTCCTTGCCTGTTTTCATCTGTTCCGGTTTTGTTACTACTGTTCTTTTCCTGCTTTCTTTCCTTTTTTGAAAGCTCTACTCTTCTAAATCCTGACTCTCGTTTTAACTGCCTTTTCTCTCTTCCTCTTTTACGTTTCCCCTATTTTTTCTTCCTCACTGCTGTGTGTGCCTTATCTTCCGTTTTTGAACTCTCATTTCCCATCCCAATCTGCAGACCTTTCCCACCTGTGTCACACACATACATACCTGTTCCCACTTCCCCTTCCAGGACAATTTTCTCAGCTCCATGAATTACGTTTCCGTAAGCACACCCCCTCACACACTCTCTGGCATCCTCGCATATGCTGACACTTCCATGCTCTGACAACCACTGTAATTCAGATTCGTACTCTTTGAAACACATCACTCCTTGCCTGTAGCACGCTGCCACTCACTCATGTCTACACGCTGCCTTTATCTCGCTCCTCTCCCTCACTCCCTTTCTCTTCCTTCTTCCTTCCCACCCACGTTTCTTCTGTCTTCAGTTTTCTTTTTCTCATTGTCTCTGTTTACCTGCTCCTCACTTAACTCCAGCACTGAAATAATTTATCATTAATGAAAATTCATAGCCTAGTTTCACCCCTTCGTAATGCTACACAGTGGGTTTCTGCAAACATTTCCTCTTCTTTGAAAATAACAATTGCTGATCAGCAGTGTTTAGATGGAAACAAGGCTAAGGGCCCTTTTTTCCCCCCTGACACCTCTACCTGACATACATCTCATATTCCCTTGAAAGATATTTTTTCTCTCCACTGGGTGGTGGTTGACTTGTAAGTATGGATGGCACAAAATCAGTGTACATGGCATGTGTAAGGTGAGAGTGAAGCGTGTTTCTGCTTGAATTGTGGAACATTTCAGATTTAGTGGTGTGGGTGTGGTGTATGACTTACGTTTATGAAACATGATTCCAAATTTGAAAATTTAGCAATGTAATTTATAATATACATTGATAACATATTTTGTAATGATGTAGTCTTTGCCATGAATACAACTGAGTGCATATAAACTAACACATATTTTTGACAGATGCTAGTAAAATAACTTTTCATTGTTGGTACTAGAGAGGAACTCTGTTACACGGAGGGTGTAAAGTTGAATACGTATTTTCTGATTATATCAAGTTTGTTTTAGAAGTTTGAACAAAGTGATTAAGAACAAAACACTGCCTGGAGAGGCTGCAGACATGCGCCATGGGAGCTGCATTGTATGCATGTACAGAGCAGCATATTACTTAGAAGAAAACCTTACAGTGTTCAGCACAGGGATTTGGTACACTTCTGTGCTGATGTGTGTTGACATTTTGCATCTTGACGAACAGTCTAGGACACACTGTGGGAGACAGCAGTAGCTGGACTACTTGCTGCTTCCAGGAAATCTGTGTTGAGCTTAGTCTATACTTTCAACAGTGGAGCATCCCTAATGTATGTGGACAGTGTTTTAGTATCAGTGTGATACAGTCCTTTGTTACTTTTCTGTGCAGTGTATCTTGTCAATTTCTAAGTTATATCCTGAGTTCTGTACTAACAGTTTAGGAAAACTTCTGACTTCTAAACTTCCTAAAGAGTAGGCAATTCGCTTTTCCTCTTAATGGTGTTTCTGATCAATTACTTTTAGGTTTTTAAATAAACAGTCATTTTTGTCATGTGAACCAGAAATTTGATCTGAATTACCCATTTTCATTTCTTTGCTATCATTCCGTATTTCTCTAAGTATACAATTGTTGACCATAGCTTCGAAACTTAATAAGTTTAGTTACAACATATTTTGTTTTCCTTTAGAAGAAAGTGCTTAATGGTGTCAGGCTTTTTTCTCTTGACTTTTCTGCAACTGGTGTTTGCTCTGCTCATAGGCCGAAAAACAGTGTATCGACTGAGTGTGGGCGTTTCAAGTGTTATTTTCCAGTGATAATCTTACAGTGTGATATTTTGTTTTGTTTTGTGTATTTAAGCCCATACTTGATATTATGATCTAATTCATTAGAAAACAAATCATGCAAGTCATCTGCTCTTTATGTGTATACATCCTTGCTACCAAAGTATCAGAATTGAGTGTTTAGAACACTTAATCACATTATATCATCTATCCAGCAGTACATAGAATATTCTAATTATTAATGTAACATGGTTTTCGAAGTGTCTGTAATGAAGAGCAAATAGGGTTATAACAGTTATCCAGTAACTTTAAGTGCTAGAGGCCTAAAAGTGGAAACACTCCAGGCAGTGCCTCTGTTGCTTGTGCTTACAGTAATGAAATAAAAGTTTAAAGGTCAAATGATATATTTCTGTCAGAAGTGCCAATATGCCTGTTTTTGATAAGAGAATCAAATAACACCACAGTTTTTATAAGTGTAGTTAACTTGCCCAAAGGAAATTCATTCTGTTATCTACCTACTGTGTCTATCACTTTGTAAATTGTCTTCTCAGGTTAGCCTAAATAGAGGATGTATAATGAAGTTCCATTTAATAATTTCAACACCTTTATTATTTCACTTTGTCTTTTCAGGTTAGTGAAGCCAACTATTAAATGTCAAGATGTCATTTCCCTCTGATAATAATTTTCATTGCCAAAATCACTGACGGATTCACTTGGACTATTTGGAACTTCTTAATGTTTAATGATGCATTCATTCAATTTAGAAATGCCTGATATCTTCCTTACTTGAACCTAGGTTTCAGGGAATTCAGGAAATCTGAAGTACATTGTACCTTTCTAATAAATATCAGTGTTCCCATTAACTTATTAAACATAAATTTTAAGTATCACTACATTTGACACATATGCTATTTTAATCCTAACAAGACTTTAATCCATATATGAAAACATTGGCTTTATTTTTCTGTAAAACATCAAGGACCTCAGTTAATGGTTGCAGACACAGAAGGTAGTAGAACCACACTGTTCACGCCTTCTTACCTCATAGTTTTAGACCTACTCAATGCATTAATTTCAAATGACTTCTTTTTAGTAAATTTTAAGTTCCTTTAATGTGAATCAGTTGATTTATTATTAAATTATTAGCAAATTACATTGTGTAAGCAGATTGAAAACATTTACTCTTTTTTGGAAACAAAACACTGAGTGTTTTTATTAATATCCTCTCAGTTTCTGAACATTTTTAAGCCAACTCTGGCAGTTTCTCATTCAGTCTTTCTGTATGAATTTTGTACATTTTTAACTGATTTCCTAATACGGATCCAAAGTATCTATTATCTGCTTGTCATGCTTTAGTTAAAGGAAAAAAAAAAACTTTTTTTTTTCTTTGATGTGTTATCTTGTTTTACTTTAGCAAAGTTTAGCATAACTTTTTATTGGAAAGGCAGATATACAGAGAGGAGAGACAGAGAGGAAGATCTTCTGTCCGATGATTCACTCCCCAAGTGAGCGCAAAGGCCGATGCTATGCTGATCCGAAGCCAGGAGCCTCTTCTGGGTCTCCCACACGGGTGCAGGGTTCCAAAGGTTTGGGCCATCCTCGACTGCTTTCCCGGGCCACAAGCAGGGGGCTGCATGGGAAGCGGGGCTGCTGGGATTAGAACTAGCTCCCATATGGGATCCCGGGCGTGCAAGGCGAGGACCTTAACCACTGCGCCATCACGCAGGGCCCTAGCATAACTTTTTAATGCAGTGCATTTGAACAGTAGTGCTATGATATCCTCCTAGTGTAATCACGAGGGCCTATTCCTCAGACAATATTTGCAACTTTAATTGGAAACTTCACCTTTTATTAGATTTACAAATGGATATGACACATATTTATTACTTCTCAGCTAATTTGTGTAATACATTTACCTTTTTGTTGGACTGAAGCTTTGGTTTGAAATTTATGTTGTTGGCCAGAATAAGGTAAATGATTTATATATAAAAGTGCATTATTACCAGTGGTAATAAAAAATCAGTCTTCTTGTGCTTGCAGAGTGTATTGGACAGTATCACATCGTTGAGCTCTTCCTACAAATCCGTTCATCGTATTTTCCAAATATAGTGTCCAAAGATACGAGTTGTCAACTTAGAACATTAGGAATTATTTAAAAGTTAGGTGCTTATTACATTGAGGAAATATTTTAAAATTTCTTTTCTCTACCTTATCATAAAGGTAAGAATCTGTCGTGAACAATTAACCTGGGAAAAAGTATTTAAGAATGTAGAATAAAACACATTATTTGTCGTGATTTAGCATGTTCACGGTTCCATTAACATGGTACAAGGAATATGTAGTAATTGTTTCTTAAATAATTTCAATTTAATTTTTTCCAAATGTTCATTTATTTATTTATTTGTATGAGAATTGAGAGAGGGCACGACAGAAAGAGAGAGACAGGCGCAGAGTGAGTTTCTCTCTGCTGGTTTACTCTACAAATGCCTGTACTGTCTAGGACTAGGTCTGGAACTCAGCAGGACCAGGAGCTCAGATCTC